CGACTCTGCCCAAAACCTTGTTTAATGTAATTATCACGAACAACAGGAAGGGTGTAGTTATCACGAATAACATAAGGGTGTAGTTATCACGAACAACAGGAAGGGTGTAGTTATCACGGACAACAGGAAGGGTGTAGTTATCACGAATAAAAGGGAGGGCGTAGTTATCACGAATAGCAGGAAGGGCGTGGTTATCACGAACAACAGGAAGGGCGTAGTTATCACGAGTAACAGGAAGGGTGTAGTTATCACGAACAACAGGAAGGGCGTAGTTATCACGAACAACAGGAAGGGTGTAGTTATCACGAACAACAGGAAGGGCGTAGTTATCACGAATAGCAGGAAGGGCGTAGTTATCACGAAGAACATAAAGGTGTAGTTATCACGAGTAACAGGAAGGGTGTAGTTATCACGAATAACAGGAAGGGTGTAGTTATCACGAACAACAGGAAGGGCGTAGTTATCACGAATAACAGGAAGGGTGTAGTTATCACGAACAACAGGAAGGGCGTAGTTATCACGAATAACATAAGGGTGTAGTTATCACGAACAACAGGAAGGGTGTAGTTATCACGAGTAACAGGAAGGGTGTAGTTATCACGCATAACAGGAAGGGTGTAGTTATCACGAATAACATAAGGGTGTAGTTATCACGAACCACAGGAAGGGCGTAGTTATCACGAACCACAGGAAGGGTGTAGTTATCACGAACAACAGGAAGGGTGTAGTTATCACGAATAACAGGAAGGGCGTAGTTATCACGAACAACAGGAAGGGTGTAGTTATCACGAACAACAGGAAGGGCGTAGTTATCACGAATAGCAGGAAGGGCGTAGTTATCACGAAGAACATAAAGGTGTAGTTATCACGAGTAACAGGAAGGGTGTAGTTATCACGAATAACAGGAAGGGTGTAGTTATCACGAACAACAGGAAGGGCGTAGTTATCACGAATAACAGGAAGGGTGTAGTTATCACGAACAACAGGAAGGGCGTAGTTATCACGAATAACATAAGGGTGTAGTTATCACGAACAACAGGAAGGGTGTAGTTATCACGAGTAACAGGAAGGGTGTAGTTATCACGCATAACAGGAAGGGTGTAGTTATCACGAATAACATAAGGGTGTAGTTATCACGAACCACAGGAAGGGCGTAGTTATCACGAACCACAGGAAGGGTGTAGTTATCACGAACAACAGGAAGGGTGTAGTTATCACGAATAACAGGAAGGGCGTAGTTATCACGAACCACAGGAAGGGCCTAGTTATCACGATTAACAGGAAGGGTGTAGTTATCACGAACAACAGGAAGGGTGTAGTTATCATGAATAAAAGGGGGGCGTAGTTATCACGGATAACATAAGGGTGTAGTTATCACGAACAACAAGAAGGGTGTAGTTATCACGAGTAACATGAAGGGTGTAGTTATCACGAACAACAGAAAGGGTGTATTTATCACTAGTAACAGGAAGGGTGTAGTTATCACGAACAACAGGAAGGGTGTAGTTATCACGAATAAAAGGGAGGGCGTAGTTGTCACGAACAACAGGAAGGGCGTAGTTATCACGAAGAACATAAATGTGTAGTTATGACGAATAACAGGAAGGGTGTAGTTATCACGAACAACAGGAAGGGCGTAGTTATCACGAACAACGGGAAGGGTGTAGTTATCACGAATAACAGGAAGGGTGTAGTTATCACGAGAAACAGGAAGGGTGTAGTTATCACGAACAACAGGAAGGGCGTAGTTATCACGAATAACATAAATGTGTAGTTATGACGAATAACAGGAAGGGTGTAGTTATCACGAACAACAGGAAGGGCGTAGTTATCACGAACAACAGGAAGGGTGTAGTTATCACGAACAACATAAGGGTGTTGTTATCACGGATAACAGGAAGGGTGTAGTTATCACGAACAACAGGAAAGGCGAATTTATCACTAGTAACAGGAAGGAAGCAGTTATCACGAACAACAGAAAGGGTGTAGTTATCACGAATAAAAGGGAGGGCGTAGTTATCACAAATAGCAGGAAGGGCGTAGTTATCACGAAGAACATAAAGGTGTAGTTATCACGAATAACAGGAAGGGTGTAGTTATCACGAACAACAGGAAGGGCGTCGTTATCACGAACAACAGGAAGGGCGTAGTTATCACTAGTAACAGGAAGGGTGTAGTTATCGCGAACAAAAGGAAAGGGTGTAGTTATCAAGAATAAAATGGAGGGCGTAGTTATCACGAATAACAGGAAGGGCGTAGTTATCACGAAGAACAAAAAGGTGTAGTTATCACGAATAAAAGAAAGGTTGTAGTTATCACGAATAACAGGAAGGGCGTAGTTATCACGAACAACAGGAAGGGTGTAGTTATCACGAACAACAGGAAGGGTGTAGTTATCACGAACAACATAAGGGTGTAGTTATCACGAATAACAGGAAGGGTGTAGTTATCACGAACAACAGGAAGGGTGTAGTTATCACGAATAAAAGGGAGGGCGTAGTTATCACGAATAGCAGGAAGGGCGTGGTTATCACGAAGAACATAAGGGGTAGTTATGACGAATAATAGGAAGGGTGTAGTTATCACGAACAACAGGAAGGGCGTAGTTATCACGAACAACAAGAAGGGTGTAGTTATCACGAACGACAGGAAGGGCGTAATTATCAAGATCCGCGAGTAACAGGATGGGTGTAGTTATCACGAACAACAGGAAGGGTGTAGTTATCACGAATAAAAGGGAGGGCGTAGTTATCACGAATAGCAGGAAGGGCGTAGTTATCACGAAGAACATAAAGGTGTAGTTATGACGAATAATAGGAAGGGTGTAGTTATCACGAACAACAGGAAGGGCGTAGTTATCACGAACAACAGGAAGGGTGTAGTTATCACGAATAACATAAGGGTGTAGTTATCACGAACAACATAAGGGTGTAGTTATCACGAACGACAGGAAGGGCGTAATTATCAAGATCCGCGAGTAACAGGATGGGTGTAGTTATCACGAACAACAGGAAGGGTGTAGTTATCACGAAGAACAGGAAGGGTGTAGTTATCACGAAGAAGAGGAAGGGTGTAGTTATCACGATCCGCGAGTAACAGGAAGGGTGTAGTTATCACGAAGAACAGGAAGGGTGTAGTTATCACGAATAAAAGGGAGGGCGTAGTTATCACGAATAACATAAGGGTGTAGTTATCATGAGTAACAAGAAGGGTGTAGTTATCACCAACAACAGGAAGGGTGTAGTTATCACTAGTAACAGGAAGGGTGTAGTTATCACGAGTAGCAGGAAGTGCGTAGTTATCACGAAAAACATAAGGGTGTAGTTATCACGAATAACAGGAAGGGAGTAGTTATCACAAACAACATAAGGGTGTAGTTATCACGAACAACAGGAAGGGTGTCTTTATCACGAACAACATAAGAGTGTAGTTGTCACGAACAACATAAGGATGGAGTTATCACGAATAACAGGAAGGGCGTAGTTATCACGAACAACATAAGGGTGTAGTTATCACAAATAACAGAAAGGGTGTAGTTATCACGAAAAACAGGAAGGGTGTAGTTATTACGAACAACATTAGGGTGTAGTTATCACGAATAACAGGAAGGGCGTAGTTATAACGAATAACATAAGGGTGTAGTTATCACGAATAACAGGAAGGGTGTAGTTATCACGAATAACAGGAAGGGTGTAGTTATCACGAACAGCATGAGGGTGAAGTTATCACGAATAACAGGAAGGGTGTAGTTATCACGAACAACAGGAAGGGCGTAGTTATCACGAACAACAGGAAGGGCGTAGTTATCACGAACAACATTTGGGTGTAGTTATCACGAACAACAGGAAGGGTGTAGTTATCACGAACAACAGGAAGGGTGTAGTTATCACGGACAACAGGAAGGGCGTAGTTATCACGAACAACAGGAAGGGCGTAGTTATCACGAACAACAGGAAGGGCGTAGTTATCACGAACAACAGGAAGGGTGTAGTTATCACGAACAACAGGAAGGGTGTAGTTATCACGAACAACAGGAAGGGTGTAGTTATCACGAACAACAGGAAGGGTGTAGTTATCACGAACAACATTTGGGTGTAGTTATCACGAACAACAGGAAGGGTGTAGTTATCACGGACAACAGGAAGGGTGTAGTTATCACGGACAACAGGAAGGGTGTAGTTATCACGGACAACAGGGAGGGCGTACAACCCCACACTATTATTTAAAAGTTCTATGCTATAAAAAGCTTGTTGAGTCCATTCATAAACACTTTGCTCAACTGACTTGTGGGAATCAATGGAACACAAATCCCCACTCCCAGAGCTTCAAAACAACTAGTCGCTGTTTTTAGTAACGATTCCAATCCTGCGACAATGTGGCTTTTGGGCTTGTTTCTCTAAACTGACAAAAGACAACGTAATAACAGACATGTTCTGTACCGAGACACCGCAACTTGTTCAGCTTTCAAAGAGAACTGTCACCGACAGCTCGTATCTCTGTTACTGTCTCAATTGTAAGGTTGATCAACCAATTTTGCTAGATGACGCAGTTCTGGGGCTTTGTCTGTCACTTCAAATGACATTTTGTTAAGAGACATTTTGGGGGAAAAGTTTGTATTCAATAAACAGACACTTTAATGTTCGTCTCAACCCAAAAATTACCAAACTAATAAAATGTTAGTGTCTGGGCTATCATTTGGTTACCATCATCTTCGGTTTTATATCTGTACCCTTACTTCTTTTCATCAATATATAGACAGGTGAGCTCCATGTGCTAGACAGTTGACGTGTCGTGTTCGTATCGGCGGACAGGCCAACAGCCAGGACATTTCACCATATGATGTTACGATATGTTGGCTCACAATTTGCTTCAAAACACATTCGGTTCGATTTAACCACAATTGTACTCTAGTCGGAAGATGACTAGAGCGTGCAAACACCCTATACATACTCCAACAATATGCCTGGTCTGGGATACTGGATCATGTCTTTGTTGTGGAGGTCAGTTCTAAGGTCACTTGGGACCCGCCACACTTTATTTCAACAACCCTACGCTACACCCAACACCGACCCTTTGTCACACGTCAAATCTACTCCGTCACACCCTACACCCACATCCGTCACGCCCCACCCCAACCTCCGTCACACCCTACAACACCCTCCGTCACACACGACACTAAACTCAGTCACGCCCACACCTACCCTCCGTCACACCCCACACCTACCCTCCGTCACACCCTACACCTACCCTCCGTCACATCCTACACCTACCCTCCGTCACACCCTACACTAAACCCCGTCACGCCCCACCCCAACCTCCGTCACACCCTACAACACCCTCCGTCACACACGACACTAAACTCAGTCACGCCCACACCTACCCTCCGTCACACCCCACACCTACCCTCCGTCACGCCCACACCTACCCTCTGTCACACCCTACACCTACCCTCCGTCACACCCTACACCTACCCTCCGTCACACCCCACACCTACCCTCCGTCACACCCAACACCTACCCTCTGTCACACCCTACACCTACCCTCCGTCACACCCTACACCTACCCTCCGTCACACCCCACACCTACCCTCCGTCACACCCTACACCTACCCTCCGTCACACCCTAAACCTACCCTCCGTCACACCCTACACCTACCCTCCGTCACACCCTACATCTACCCTCCGTCACACCCTACACCTACCCTCCGTCACACCCTACACCTACCCTCTGTCACACCCTACACCTACCCTCCGTCACACCCCACACCTACCCTCCGTCACGCCCACACCTACCCTCCGTCACACACCACACCTACCCTCCGTCACACCCTACACCTACCCTCCGTCACACCCTACACCTACCCTCCGTCACACCCCACACCTACCCTCTGTCACACCCTACACCTACCCTCCGTCACACCCCACACCTACCCTCCGTCACACCCTACACCTACTCTCCGTCACACCCTACACTAAACCCCGTCACGCCCCACACCTACCGTCCGTCACACCCCACACCTACCCTCCGTCACACCCCACACTAAACCCCGTCACGCCCTACACCTACGCTCCGTCACACCCCACACCTACCCACCGTCACGCCCCACACCTACCCTCTGTCACACCCCACACTAAACCCCGTCACGCCCCACAAATATCCTAATGGTACGGCATACAGGTTTCACCGAAAACACCTATCTCAACAACCAATCTATATTATTTCATGTTAGGCCTGAAAAAATCCATTTTGATGTAAAAACATAAAACCGTTCTAAATGTCATCCAGTACTATCGTTCCAAAAACAGTTTAAATAACTTGTTCCTCAAGGTTGCAATTTGGCAACAAATGCCAGCCTGGTTTTCCATTAAAATGTCCGTGAGTTTGACGGGGGCGACACTTTTTTATTTCCAAGCAATAAAACGATACAACGTACACAGGCCCTCTGTCTCTACTTGGTATTTTATTTCCAGTAAACCTGTCTCCGGTATAATCGGAACATCTGAAGAAATAGGATTAGTTTTTCCGTGTTGGGTGACTGGATTGGCGAGTCACGAGGGACCATCTCTTGTTATTTTGAAAATCAGTTGACAGATAGAATTGCACCATCAGTCAATATGATTGAGCTCCAATCAGGAGTAGAGTCTTTTTTTCACAGGGAGAAGTTGATTTCACCAAAGGTCTGCGACTGGGAAAAAAATTAATCGATATTTTTTTATGGAGTGTTGTTCAAATGAAACAAGAGTAGTCGGCTGGAAATAGTGTTTATTCAGTAGAGACATGGGTAGTTTTTAGCTATTCAGCACCACAACGCTAACCTAAAGATAATATTATCCAAACGACAAGTTAAAGAAAGTCCAAAGATTTGAAGTCGCCTGCCAGACAAAGACTATTTTGATTGAGGTAATTTCATACGATTTTCCATATGTGATTTTTGTGATGGTAATAACCCAACACTGAGAAGGACAAAATAAATACATCTCTCTTTTAGCGTATTTACCTTCCCTACAACAAGACTGAGAAGATGCTTTCCTTCAATCTCATCAAGTTAAAGTAAATATCATCTTAGAATTAATCTCATGCGAACAATGTCGAACGTCTGTGGAGAAATGAAGTTTAATTACATTGATATTTGCCTCTGGACGAGTGGTGAAAACCCCAACGAATACAAATGGTAATAACTTTCCAAGGCATGCAGTTGCTTTATTTGTTTTCGAAATAAACAACGCTGATAACACACTGCATTTTGTATGTATGTTGGGATGTGTTGTCAGTGGGTGTCAGTTCAGAGACATTCTTGACATCAAAGTATCTTGTCAGAAAAATCAAGGTATTTACAAGATGGCTACTCCCGTGCTCTCCTTCGGAAAACATCACATATATATCTACATCAAGAATGATGTGTTGATTCAGTATTCGATGCATGGTAATGAGTTTAAGCTGCTGATGATGATGTCGGGGAGTTAACGAGTCCCAGTGCTTAAAAGTTGTTCATCTGAATGTGGTAGTATTAAATGGTATCAAGTGGTCTTCCTATCTAGACAAACATTTAATCACTAAGAATGTTTGCAAACGTTGCGCTTTTTTGCCGTTGATTCATTGACATGTAGCGCAAAACTACGCTTATTTCCTAGTCTGGGATATTTTAAGGGTGCTTCCAATGACTACAATTTTGCCGGTTATCTCCCTTTTAACTTAAAATTCTCTCGGAATGTGGAAGGCTGATGAATCTCTTCAGACTCGTCTAATAATAACAGCAAGTAATATTGCAGGTGTGAACATACTCAAGCATTGACTCAGACGTCAGTGGGGTTTATGATACAAAATCTAACATTGGCAAACCCGGTGTATATTGCGGGAGAATTGACCCACGGAGAAGGTTAGACTTCGCATTCTACTTGTGACGTCATTCTCAAGTTAATTACCTCCCTTGGCATCTGCTGATCTCGTCACCACGTGCCGTGTATGTTAATAAAGAGATAGCAGGTTTGAAACAAGCATAAAAAAATAATATTCTCGCATGCATCTTTCTTCGCGTGATGATAGTTTACTGGTCTTGAAAGAGGGTAGTTATGAAATGTAGGACGTGTCAGCTGCACCACCATAGCCAATGAAAATATTGATAGTTGGACGTCATCAAAAGCATATATTTTTCCATTCCCTTTTTAACAATTAATAAATATTTCTGTTGGAATATAGTTGCAGGCTACATCGTGAAAATAACTTCAAAGATTCCAAACGGTATCACATTTCAAGAGGTGATTACGTAAGTTTCTCTCAATGTACTTCAACACGTTTCTATTTGTGTGTCCGGAATTCGGCTCAGTATGTTTACAGTTGACGTTCAGCTGTAGAATAGATTCACAGTACTGTATGTTTGTTATCAGTTAAAACTCGGTATGGTGTTGTTGTAATTTGATGACTTGGCTGATGGCATACTGTAATTCATTGCTCATACTTTCAAACACTTGTTTGTCTTGACCAGATTCGATCATTAACGTGTGAAATAGCTGTAACATTACTGACTGGGGCCTTAATTCAACAATTCTGGTCGGAACGAACATTTTTCACAGGGTTCGGATGTCTTATCCCGTCGTTGTCCACGTGCCGAGTAGTGTCATTTTTTTTTATTGCTTTTAAAGATAGAAATAAGTAAATTAAAACTATGCACATAACTGGTTTATATATAGAAAATCTTTTCAACAAAATCCGCGAATTTGAACCGTTTCAGTAGATTATTCAGAGCTATTTTAGCTTTTATCAAAATCAAAAACAATTTTGTATTACGGGTTTCTTGGTATTACTAACCTTTTAACGTCTTGTCAACATCTACACATTAATTGCAAAGTTACGTTCTATAATTCTTCTCCGTCGAACTGTTTAAGTAACCCACCTTGTGTTACGTAAAAACACTGGAGCTGAGTGGAGCTGCAGAGTACGTTGTATTACTGGTATTCACTATGTGTCAATGAGTTTCGTCGGCTTGGTCCTATACATACGGCAAATGGGATTATCCGACTGCATAGGGGATATACCGATGCTCCATTATCAATGTCTACACTAACAGTCATTTAGCCCGTTTTTTCCAGAGGTGAGGGTACATCTTTCCTCAAAGGAGGGTGAATTATTTTAACACAAGTTAACATACGCGAGCTGGATGAATGCTTACAATCCGCGAAGCAATTTGCCATGTGTCGTTATGTTTACATTTTTATGCAGACATTAGCAAAGAATTAATTACAGTATTGATATACATTTCTACTTGCATAAACAAAAATCTATAAAAAAACAACATATAAATGCTTGCGCATGCTCAGAAGTGGTGTTTCAGACCCTCCTGTCCATCGTGGCACGATGTCATGGCTGATCCTTACTTTAGTGCCCGAAGCTTTCTTTAATTTGAGTTCACCCACACACCACACACCTGACGTCCATGTTGACCCTTTGGAAAAAAGACGTTCCTCTACTTCTGAGTTCCCTTCCACAGATGAAGTGCGCCACCAGGATAGTTAACGTACAACTTTAACACCGTTACAGAGCATCATTACAGCTGACAATGTTATCAAAGACAAGCCGAGGGTCTGATAAGGACTTGAGTTAACATGGTGGAAGGAACGGGCACTTCCAAGGCAGACAAACCTTGTACTGCTGTGTTCCATGTTCAACCAGTGTACATAACATGTCGGTCTAGACTGATTACTTCATGTTCAACTCAACAAGTGGAGAATGATAAGAACCGAAAAAAGTGGAAATGCAACGATGTATTTGACAACACGGATTAAGGTTTTGTGTGTTTGAAGCAGTAACAGCAATCAGCGCCGTGGACGAAAAGGGGATTACGTTATGAACGCTTTGTTACGTTGAGGGTTGTGGGGATTAGATGAGGGGTATTACTAAACGCTTGATATACCCGTCAGGTTCAAGGTCACGTGGTGAGTGGAACTCGGCTCTGATGGATCTGATGTTCAATGGCCGGAGGTGTTTTAATAGACCTCGCGATGGTTGTGAATTGTTTTGAGGTAAAACTTAAGAAACTTTCAGAATCTTAAATCATTATGAAGATCGACTGAACTGACCTTCGGAATCTAAAATCATTATGCAAATCGACTGAATTGACCTTAAGAATCTAAAATCATTTTGCAAATCGACTGAATTGACCTTCAGAATCTAAAATCATAATGGAGATCGTCTGAATCGACCTTTAGAATCGAAAATCATTATGGAGATCGTCTGAATTGACCTTCAAAATCGAAAATCATCCTGGTGATTGACTAAATTGACCTTCAGAATCTAAAAGGATTATGGCGATCGGCTGGATTGACCTTCAAAATCTAAAATCATTATGAAGATTGACTGAATTGACCTTAAGAATCTAAAATCATTATGAAGGCCTAAACTGACTCTCAGAAAGTACACATAATGAGACTCTGAAGTGAGATTGACGACGAGACTGTAGTTCAGTGGTGAACGAGCTAGCATTCAACCTTGAAGTTCGATTTGCAACACATGATAAACTCTAGACACAGGTGTCCCATTTATCGCAATTTACCAAGAAGAGAAGCATCCCTCAGCCGTGCCACGGCCCGGTGGGATGGAATCTTAGATTCGCCCTGATGACGACTGTGCTTGTGGGCCCTATCACAAGTGACATGCTCTAATACAATCGACTGAAGGTTTAAGATGGAGTTAAAACCAATCCACCCTCCCATTCACATGGAAAGGTCAAACGGTGGTGCTGTTACTGTGCCTTGGAAGTGGTGTAACAAATCCACACGCACGCACACACACATACGCACGCACGCATGCACGCACGCACTCACACCACGCAACGACAACCAAATTATTCTTAGATTGTAATCTAAACAAAAACTGTAATATTCAAACAAAACCCGATTAAGTTGCGTGCATAAGGTAATTAGGTGATATTCCTATTTCGCGGACTAGACTACAAATGCTGACCCAGGAATCAAACTCGTGT